AGTAATGAATTTCAAGTATGAGAACGAATAACGGCAGTGGGCTGATTCAGTGGTTTCAGATGAGCCTAATCCAATAAAAATTGTTCGCTTACAAAAAAATAAAAAAAAATAAAAAAAAATTTTTTTTGTTTGATAAACATTATTTGGCAAGTAAATTACAAACGAACGATCAACATAAATGTCGAAGTTTAAAAATGAAGTTTCAGTAAGTTCGATATGAGGAAGCTGGTATGTTGTATTGAATTAACAGCCTTAATTGCTTTGGGAGAAAAAGAGTAGATTAGTTATTTGGTCATATGAACATGGAAGACTAAGCTAGGGAACTTCGCGAAGAGGCTATTACGGATGAATACCTCAAAAGATGCAGAAAATTATTCGAACTGTCTAAAATTCCGTTCACTTTAGCCAAATAAGATTCTAAATTTATAAGAATAGAATATTAAATACTAGAATAAAATATAATAAAAATACTTTTATCTCGATTTTCGTTAGCCAGTTTGCATGCCAACTATTTGCTAAAAGTAATAGTCCGAACTAAACCATATTTTCGGATATTGGAGCGTGATCGTGGGCAATAACACTGGTTTTTTGTGACATGAACAGAAAAAAGGTGTTTATTATATAAAAATCGCCACAAATGTAGAAAATAGCTATATATTTCTTCTATCGCCTTTGGTTTTTGTGCTATGAGGATTTTTGTAAAAAAAAAAAACGATAGATATATTATTGTGGTATTATTTTATTAACCAAAAACTACCTTAAGATGTCACTGTCGATGTTTTTCGGCGATATTTTGTTTTTGGTACCCTTTAACAATGCCCGGCAGTAATCGGCAAGCAAACTGGCACTCCAATTTCCAAGAAAATGTTTAACAATGCTTTGAAAGGCATTGAGCATTTGCTAAAATATTTTGCCTTTCATTTGTTCTCTTATTTGCGGACCTACAAATATGCCATCCTTAATTTTTGCTTCACTGACTCTTGGAAATTTTTGTTTCAGATACAGGAAGCCTTTTCAATTTCTGTCCATTGCTTTAAAAAAATTCTTAATGAAACCTGTTGTTTGTTTCAGACACAAGAACATTTTCAATTTCTGTCCATTGCTTTAACAAAATTCTTAATGAAACTTAATTTAATATACAAAGGTGGTAGTAATACCTATTTGGGGTGAACTAGAGGTTCACCTGTAACGTGTTTTGCACAGGAGTTGGTGCCTGACGAACTGGTAAGTAAAAGAATGTGAGCTCAAAAACGTCTTGCTATCCTAACATAGAACACGTAACCGATTCGAACACAATTAGTCTACTGATAAATTTTGTAAAATAAAATGATCGTAAAATTTTTTCCACAATTTTTATTCAACTTGAATTGATCTTCTTACTTTAATTTTAGCGTGAACAGAGGCCTATGGTAATAGTTTTTTGTCGCGAGCAAGTGGTATTAACTATTCAAAGAGGTTCGATAAGGCTTTGACAATGAAAGATCATTTAGCAGTTAGGAAAGAGAAAGCACGATTGGTTAGAAAATCTCTAAATTTTTTCGTAAAACTCATGTCGCGTTAACGTCTTTGAAACAATGCCTTTCGACCACCAGCATGTGATGAAACATATTGTTACTGACGATGAGTCTTGAATCTATGCTAACGCCACGGAAACAGACGATCAACCGGCAGAATATCGTCACAAAGGTGAGACGAATCCGAAAAAAACACGTCAAAAATAAAGGTGGATGTGTGGTGCACTCCAAATACCTTCCGACAAACCGAACTGTCAACAAGGTATACTATTTGAGTATCACGCTTCGTATACGCGAAGCTATTTGTAAACAAAAAAATCAGAATTATAAGCAAACAACTCTTGGTTTTTGCACCACAATAATTTACCGTAGCATATCGTGTTAATTCTGCGTAAGTTTTTAGCCAAAGTTTCAACTAGTTTCAATTATCACCGTATTCACCTTCATCTGATATCTGGCCATTCAGCAACCTCCAACGACCGCTACGGGGAAACCGTTTTGACCCAATTGAAGACATTAAAGGTGACTCACTACGATGACTGAAGATTATTTCGAAAACTGACTTTAACAACTATTTCGAGGATTGGAAAAAGCATAGGCGTAAGAGTATTGAGGCCATGAAATTTTACTTTGAGGGGGACGACATAGATTTTGAAAAATAAATTAAAAATTTGAATATTATGAACAAAGTAGTATAACAATAATTATCTTTAAATGTTCGCGTTACCCTAACTAAAAATGCTTAATTTATTGGTCATGTTTTGGACTTTATTGTAGCCTGCTTTTTTGGTATCATGTGTTGTCAATATAAAGTACCAATATGTTTTTTTTTTTTTTTGTTTCAATGAGTAGAGAGGCTCATAGTTACAACCTGCTGCAATTATCGATATCTCTGTCTCTGACTTCACTGTTGTCTAATTTGGCTTGGAAGTAGTATTTTATTGCTAGGTGTTTAATAGAAGTTTATTATGGTGCAGAGTTTGTGTTTGGTTAAGACGAAACCATTTCCCATTTCTCTTCCTGATATGAATATTTTGCTGCTAAGTGAAGCCAAGTCGCGGCACTATCGCAAACTTTCAAAAAAATAAAAATTATTGCGAATTGATCGCGCAATGGAAAAGCGTTATTTTTTGAACGCCCTGTAAACATAGCCAATTAATAGAGTTACAACCGAAAAAAATTAATCTATAGTATCACAGTAATTTCTCAATTAAAATTGATGAAGGAGAACTCGCCGCCATTAGCATGTTATTAATTCGAGTATTTTAAATTCACCCTACTCATGCTGCAAACGAACACTCAACTCTGATACCTAGCTGCCGCTATTGTGGTCAGGCAGAGAATTAACTCCGTAAAGATATCAAAGGAGTAGCGATCACCTCAGACATTTTTTGACGTGTCTTCAATGGAAACAAGAATACACGCTAATTCCGGCTGCACCGAAGCTATATCAGCACTTTGATAGCGAAAAATAGTAAATTTATTAAGTACACCTTTTAAAATAAGCAAGTTTTCCAAACAAACAATTGATTTTAATTAAATTTAGCCTGGAAATGGGAGAAGAAATATTGATTATATAGTATAAATCAAGTTTATGATAAGAATCCGAAATATATTTGTATAAATGTGGGGGCTCAGAGTATTCGTGTAAAATTCCAATTTAATTCTCCCCTTTTAATGAAAAAAAAAAAAAAATATTGTTTTTATATAAATCATTGGCTATTTGTTTCAATGATAGTTTTGCACAGATTATGGCCGGGTCGCTATTTTAATCTATAGTTGACTCTTTACCGCTTCACAATGACCGGAAAATGCAATAAATTACTTTTAGTGAGCTCAATTCTTGTGCAACTTACCACCATACATGAGAGCAACTGTGCAAAAAAAGTAAGAATCTCCGCTTTCCTTATAACAATTAAACCCTTCAATTTATTTACTATGAATTCTATTTTCAGCATCAACTGATACTGCAATTTAAGCGCGTTGTTTGTAGAAATTATAACAACGCAGTCGTAGAAAGCATTAATTGCTCCTTGACCAAGCACGACATAACTAAGCAACTAGTACTAAATTTCGAATTCAGACTGAGAAAACCGATAACGGATTTGGTGGTAAATTATAAATTGTTGCTAAATCGCTCGGGCATCATTACCAAGTTTCATCAGATGGAAGCTGATTTTTGTAATTTTTTTGATAACCGTTTCGATTTCTTTGTCGTTCGTATGATTGCCCAAGAGATACGTCGCTCATCAAATATTCCATTCGAGTGTCCGCTCAAGAAAGTGAGTATTTCAAATCGACTTTAGTTCGTTTCTACAGTAAACTTTCTTTTCAGAATTATTCATACCATGCGCGTAATTTTAGCATCAATTCAAAATTGTTTCCCCAATTCTTACCCAACTTGAATTGGTCATCCTACGCTAATTTTAGTGTCCACAATGATACTGTGGTTGGTTTCTACCTATTTGGTTCGTTGGTGCGTAAACACCTATAATTTGAGCATGTATAAAGCCAATGGAAAATGTATATGCGAAATCGAACAATTATGATAAAGTAATTGTTTTAAAATGTTATAGTTAATAAGTCAATAAGTGTGCATCTCATTTCTAACAAATATAGTTATATAATTTTTAGAGGTTTCTGTAAATTAAAGAGGGACATATGATTGATTATTTCATTTTATTTGTCAACCTTTATTTTACACATCTGTATTTAATTTATATACTATCTTTTTGAACTACACATCTGTATTTAATTTATAAAATAGGTTGTTAAAAAAATCTTGCGGTATTTTTTATTGAATTTTCAATTGTTCATAAAAATTTTTTCTGATGACTCATGCCCAGCTCTTGACCGATGCTACGGCGGCTACTATGCCGGTCTCTTTCGACCAATTCAGCGATTTTGTCACAATTTTCGACAACAGACCTTCCGGGGGGTGGCGCATCTTGGACCACCTCTACATCAGAACGAAAACGTTGAAACCACCGTTGTGCGGTGGAAATGGAAACTGTATCGGGTCCATAAACTGCACAAATTTTATTGGCGGCTTGAGATGCATTTTTGCCTTTATCGTAGTAGTACTGTAAAATATGCCGTATTTTCTCTTTATTTTGCTTCATGTTTGCGACGCTATAACTCACGACCGACTTAAAAGAAACGACAATCAACCAAACACGTGTTAGCACGTGAAGCTTCCAAAAAGGTATAGCATGACCTGATGCGACGAATAAAGCCAACTAGTGAAAATACCGCAAGACTTTTTTGACAACCATATACTATCCGTTTGAACTATCATTCAGGAGTACAATTTAAGGTAAATAAATAAAAGTTTTTGCAAATTTATTCCTTAAATATGGATTGAGTAATTTTATTTGGATCCTTGGTAGATTATAGAGCATAATTTTGATGCATAAGCTGGTAGCAGAGCTTCTCCCAGAAAGTCTTAAGAAACAAACACTTTGCGGTGTTCACCATAACTAAGCTGGAATTTACCCGAAAATAAAAAAAGGAAAAAAAAGTCATATTTTAATCAAGTCCTCCTTTAAAAATTTTTGGCGGCCATTTAAAGTGAAAGCCGCTGTTTTCCACAAAAATATTCCCCCAAACAGAACAAACGAAATGTAAAAAAAAAAACAAGAAAAGCGTTAACTTCGGCTGCACCGAAGCTAATATACCCATAGCATACATTGTTGCCTTAGAAAATAGCCTGTGCCAAATTTCGTGAATATATCTTGTCAAATATGAAGGTTTTCCATACAAGAACTTTTTTCCGATCGTTGAGTTTGTATGGAAGCTATATGTTACAGTGATCCGTTATCGGCAGTTCCGATAACTGAGCAGCTTCTTGGAGAGAAAATTCCATTTGCAAAATTTCAAAACGACATCTTAAAAACTGAGGGACTAGTTCGTATATATACAGACATGGCTAAATCGACTCAGCTCAACATACATTGTTATTTGTTGTCATTGTAGCGACAGAGTTCTGCTGAGTTTACAGTCCTTTACCGTATAAAAATCTAGGCCCATTCCGATTACGTAGCCCCGACTGTCACACTACATTGTGATTTAATAGCAGTTTGCTGTCCAAAACTACCCTAAGGTATTTGATGCTGTCCTTGAGCGATAGCTGTGTCCCATTTATCGAAGAGAGTCTCCATTTAGGAATTTTGTATTTCCAAGCGAAAACAATCAGAGCGGTATTTTTTTAGATTCAACCCGCTTGCGATGTACAATTTTCGACTGTATTGAAAGTGTTGCTCAAATAATGCTAACGGTTTGTATGCATCTCTCCGTTATTAAGTTGGCAATGTCGTCTACATTTGCCACTATCTTGGAGGCTTTGCCGTCTAAGGGCCGTTAACAGTGAACTGCCAGTTAAGTTCTGGTTAAAAATGTTAGTGACTTAAGGAAAGGTTAAGTTAGCCAGAACTTAATTGATAGATGGATATTAACCAGATATTGAGAAAATTACCCCAAATACATTAACTGTTTATTCACTACTATAGGAGCGGAGATAGCATTCCACCATAAGGAGTGCCTCGAGAGACTGCTTTCATCATTTTATCTTCATAATAATAATAATAAATATAAATATATGATATTGCATGTAGATATAAATATAATTAAAAATTTTAAAATAGAAATTAAAATATTTAGCTGTAAAGCTTTCACGGTCACTTAGCGAGCGCCCACGCAATAGTGCGAAAACCTAAACGAGAAAGGATGCAAATAACTACCATTTGATTGAATTTTTAATGACTTTTTTCCATAAAAATCTGTAAAATTAAAAACCTGAATGAATCCGCCTACTATTGTCACATAAATTTGCATTTCACATTCAAATGCAAAAATTAACTCAGCGCCATGCTAATAGCGAGCCAGATAAGCCATAGCAGTTTAAGTTTTCTGCTGTTTCTGTTGATTTTTTATGACTCTGGTGCAGAGCTGAGACGGTGACCAATGAAATGCTATATCCACTTTTCGAGCTGAAACTAAGTCAAACACATTGCAATGGACTGACTAACGCCAAAAATGTTTTGCTCCGCTTTCTGACAGCATTCACACCTTCAACAACTTACAATGGAGCACCACAGGCTCCGCTGCACATTTACATATGCACAAATACAAATACCGAATATCAGTTTGACCTTTAAAGCAGCGTTGGTGTGCGTGTGTTTGCGCATCCGTTCGCGACAAATTTTCGTGTTATGGTTTTTGGAGAATTTTGGCATTTTCGATAGCACACGTAGTTATTATTAATATTAGTTTTGTTTTACGTTGGTAAATTTGGTCGTAAAAATTTCATTGCATTCGAAAATACTTCGCGTTTTTTGTACCGAAATTTTTCTTGTATAAATTTAGCTGCAGTTTAGCTTAGACGAACAGAAAGCAACTGAACTGCAAACCGATACAGTCAATTAACCTCAACACTATCTGTAAAATGCGTGCATTTTTGGTAAGACTTACGAGTTTGTCACACTGTCTTTTCGAATGAAAATAATGCTAATACTATCTAATCACTTTGCAGATCCTGTGCTCCGTCGTCTCTGCTGCATACGCCGCAAGCCTTGGCTACAACTATGGCAGTCCCGTGCTTGGTGGACAAGCTCTTGCTGGACCCAGTTATGGTGGACAGGCTCTTGCCGGACCCAGTTATGGCGGACAGGCTCTTGC